AAATATTTTCAAATGGGATTCATATAATATCATCACCATGAAAATTCAAACTAACCATGTCAATAAATATTTTCAGACGAGATTCACATAATAATATCATCGTCGTCATCTTTACTTTTATTGTGTATAAATGGACTCAGCCACATGAATATAATTCCTTCAATGTTTCTTACTTATTTTGTATTAGCATTGTTTGGTCTATTGCATTTTTTTACTTAAAAAAAGAATTTTTTTTTTTATTTATTAAATTCCTCTTCTGAATGAGCAGTTGGCAATCTCCTACCACCCAAAAAAAAAAAAAGTGCTCAATTTTTTATTTTTTATTTTGACTCAAATACATGCAATTAAATTGGTTCACTTTAGCTGGATGCTTATTTATATATTTATTAGATATTAAAGGCCCTTGATTCATTGGAAAAATTACCCTTATTTGTTTTTGTTTTTTATTTTTCAGAATAAAACAGAGGCCTTGTATAAATACCACCTGTACAAGGGTCATTAGTTCCACTGCATCCAGAAAATTTGTTACCGGCATTTCTTAAAGATGGTTAAGTTTTCTTACTTCTATGTCTCGCTCATTGTCATTGTTTTCTCAGGTTTGTTAGTTTATTGTTACAACATATATACATTTAAATCTACTTTTGTGATTGACATCATAGTCTTGGTTTTCTGTTTTGTTTTATATATATAGGCACCAACTTATGTGATGCGGGGAAGAAATTATTCATTACAATTGTTGCAACGATGACATGATGTTATAAACGGGATACAAAAACTCCATCAAAGCATATATATAAGCTTTTTGGTTCTATTGTAGGTTCACCTTACTTTAGTGAAGTGTGTGTACATGTTCGTTGCACCACGTCATCGTTGTAACAATTGTAATGAATAATTTCTCAGTATGCAATGGGAGCAGCAGCCCCACTGATATTTTTTTTATTTGCATTATATATTTATAAATATTGTGAAATTTTCAACAAAATTTATGGTCAGTCAATGTGTGTGTGTGTGCATATAATGTTTTCAATTTATATGATCAATTTGAATTAAAGTACTTAATTTTTTAGTTTCTTTTTCAATTTTAGCAACAATCTCTCAAGCGATTCCAGATATTCTCAAAACAATGTGTAGAAGTGTTGAACTCTAGTGGATGTGATATTAAAAGTTGTCACCGGGCGTGCTCTACAAAATTCAAGGGGGGAAATGCGGTTTGCACATTCTCGCCTTCTACTTGCCTTTGCATCCATCCGTGTAATTGTGAATGAGTACTTTTTATTTATTTATTTGGGGACTCTATCTAAATAAAGCTTGATGCATCTTTTTTTCAAAATATAATTAATAATATCATAGTCACCATTTGCTTTGATAATATTGAATTGTTTTTTCTTTTAGTACCTCCTAAAAATAAATTTTTCAAGATAGAGGCGCCATGTGCTTTTCATATCAAATTTCTTACAAGTAAAAATTGTGATGTTTTGATCACCAAGAGTCATCCAATTTTTTTTAAAATTTTTTTTATTAAAAAGAGAAATTATATATTAATAAGGTGATATATTCTTATCAAATGAACAAATTGAATGTGGGAGCAATGTGTATTTCTTACCAAATAAATATATTTATCTGCCAATCTTTATTGGGCTCTCTCTTAATAATTCTTTATAAGTCGAATAGGCCTTAAACCAGAGGTGGGGCTCACCATATTGGGGTGCCTCCCGTCCCCTAAATGTGTCTGTCAGCTTGGGCCAATTTTAATCTAAATTACAAACTTCTTCTGTTAATCTGAGTACAATTAATTTCTCTTATTGTTGGACATTGCTTTTTTTCTTTTTCTTTTTTTTGTTCGATATTCCTTATTGGAGTCGCAAGAAAAATAATTTGTAACATTATTACTCATAGTATATATAAAATTAACTATGAAGTATAAAGTAGATAAATGATAGCATATATTCTCGAAGTCATAGTTTTATATAATTAAGGGCAAATTATAAAAAACTCCCTTCGATTTTTACTCATTTGCAAAAAATTCTCTTATGAATATCTTTAACAATTAATCCCCCTCAATTATTATGCGGGGGTCATTTTAACTAACATTTGTTAAAATGATTGTGGGATAAAATTTTGGAACGAAAGTATTCTTAAAATCAAAACAATACATTAGTATTACTAAAGTACCCACCACTCACTTTATTTTTATGTTTTTAACTGCATAAAACACTAAAACAATACCTTTTATTATGAAACGAGGCCTTTGATTTTTTCTTTCGAAATGTTCTTGCATTTGAAATATATATAGTAATATGGTAGTTATTTATCAAATGTCAACTTAAATTGATTTGGTGAAAAAAAAAAAAAAAAACAAACAAACAAACTTGTACCATGATTTTTTATAAAATTTATAAGATTCTTAAATTTGATTTATCTCACACACACAGATATATATATATATATAGTCTTGTTCAGTTGCTCCCTGGTATGTAGGGAGCAATATACGCGACTTCAATTTCAGTCGTTGGATTTCATTCAATGAATGAAATTGAAAACAACTATATTAGTTGTTTTTGGTTTTTTATAGTTTTTTAGGACTCCAAAACTACTCAATTTAAACTTATAATAAGGAGGTATTAATAAAAAAAAAATTAAACAAATAATTCCACTAACATCATTTCGATACAGAAGAGTGAGAGTAGTAGAGTCTTTCTAAGAATTATTTTATACCATCAGTTGTGATGATAACTCCCAAATTTTTTTATCTTCTTTTATTTTTAATATTAGTTAGGGAAAAAAAACCTCAACAATTGGAGAAACAAATTAATTACCCGAGAATACGAACTAAAAAAAATGTCTCCCATGTGAAGTTATTCATAGTCATGCATCGAGAAAGGAGAATGTTGAGTGAGATACTAACCTCTGCAAGAAATTTACTCAAGTATGCAGTAACAAAACTTGCACTGTTTGAAGATAAACTTTTTCCCTATAACATGAATATAGAGAAATTAAAGAGCTAGAAAAAAAAAAAAAAAAAAAAATATGTAAGTTTTCTGTCAAAAATTTTGTACGGAGAATTTTTTTTTTCTTTTTTCCCCGTAATAAAAGGACTCCACGATTTTTGTGGAATTATTTGTTTAATTTTTTCATTATTAATACCTCCGTATTATAAAGTATTTAATTTTATTTAAAACACTCAGGGTCTGGAGTCTTAAAAAATCAAAAATAACTAATATAGTTGTTTTCAATTTCAGTCATTTATTTTCTAGAAAAAGTGTTTATTATGACATAAAATTTGATTAATTTCGACATCATAATCCTTAATTCCAATACTTTTTAATTAAATTGTGATATGCTACTCACACACACACACACACACACATATGAGATGATGATATGATTTTGCCACATAGTTTGATAAATTTCTACTTTTAAATTTTATAAAAAATCATGGTACTGATATTTTTGGATCTCTCGTATATATCTATATCTTTATCTTATTTTATAAAAAATCACGGCACAAGTTTTTTTTTTTTTTTTTTCACCAAAATCAATTTAAGTTGACATTTGATAAATAACTACCATATTACTATATATATTCCAAATGTAAGAACATTTCAAAAGAAAAATCAAAGGCCTCGTTTCAAAATCAGAGGCCTCATTTTAGTGTTTTATACTGTTAAAAAAAGAAGAAGTGAGTAGTAAGTACTTTAGTAATACTAATGTATTGTTTTGATTTTAAGGATAATTTTGTCCCTAAAATTTTATCACACAATTACTCAAACGGATGTTTCATGTTAAGGATAATTTTGTCCGAAAATTTTCCTTACAAAATCACTCTAACAAAGGTTCGTTAAAATAACCCCCTCATAATAGTTGAGGGCATTAATTGTTAAAGATATTTATAAGGGAGTTTTTTTGCAAACGAAAGAAAGTCGAAAATAATTTTTTACAATTCGCCCTATAATTAATTAAGTCTGTTTATTTTCAATGCCAAGAATTTTATATATAGAAAATAGATCAAGTGTACTCTTTATTCTCAATTTCCTCAGCATAGTAGAAAATAAGACAAAAACTCCACATCAGATTTTATCACTAAAGAATGATCTACGAGTGTAAAGCCGGTAGTGGAGGTTTGGAGGTTTGGAGAGAGAGTGATTGTGACAAAGTATCTGCCACTCCACAAACCAAATCTGTAGTTCGAAGGAACGTTATGTAGTTTTAATAAAGAAAGGAAGCGTTAAATGAATATAAAAGGATTGAATCTTTCAATTTTAATTTGAATTAATAAAATGAATTAAACACATTGATTTATGAATTCGATTAAAGTTAATTCAAATTTTAAATTGTGTTGAAAGGTTATGTCAAACTTTATTATTCCGAACTAGTATTATAAGTCTTGAGTTTTTGAAATTTCTTATTAGGCAAGTCCGGACTCATATGGAAGGCATAGTGATAGGCTTGATGAAATAGACGGGTACTTTTGGCAATATTAAGAGTATCTGAAACTTGGGCCTATACCAAGAGTATCTCGCATCAATATGTTACACCATTACCTCAATTCTCAAACTCGAATCTCTCAAGGATTGCACAGCTTCACGATGCATCCTAAGTGATTGGAACCTATCGCTATCTTGTTGTCGTCTACAGCCGCGTCCACCGGATTGAATTCTTCTCGGGCCTCGTTTCTACCGAGAGCTAGGTCTTTGATTAACCCTACATTAATGACTAATTGAGTCCGTCAATTGCGATTATTTGTTATAGGTTGGTTTGGCCCACCCTTGTTTGCCCTTTTGGGCTTCTTTCCCACAATATGTGGGCTTATATGGCCGAAGGCCCTCCATGTACTTATTCTTTATTTATCTGAAACTGGTAATCTACACCCACTACTATTAGACATCACCACAATTTACATAGAACCACCTCAGAATGTTTTATCAAACAGCCTTATATTGCTTTCTTCTCATGAGTCGTGACATTGTTGAACATATGAATTGTGCGACAAACATGTAATCTGAGGAAGGCAATGGACTTCCTATTAATTAATGATATAAGATAATATATAAAGCATTCCAAATGTCCTGAACAGATATATATGGTCTCTACTTGGAACATCATTTCATACTACAATAATAAGAAACAGAACATCCAGAAATTTCTGAATCTTCACAACAAAAAAAATAGCATACTAGAACACACAAAATATGTCAGGGTCACAGCAACACTCATCTATCAGACAGCAACAACACAAAGCTGCAAGGCTGCAAATCAAACAAATAAAAAGAAGAGTTAAAAATTAAAGATTAAGATATATATATATATATATATATATATATATATATATATATTCACACACACACACACATATATATATAAGATTGACAGACCATCCCTCTAGGAAGCCAGGTTCTCTTTTTGGTGGTGGAGCAGCATATTGAGGAGGTGCCATCACTGGGGGGCCTTGATAATAGCCTGATCCAAATTATATATTTATAGATCAGAAACAGGGGAGCAGATATAATATATAAGTTAGGAGCTTATCCAACATCATGTACTCAGTATTTACTTCTTCCTCTTCAATTTGGGAACTAGGTGTGTGTGTGTGAGAAAGAGATTCCTCTTAAATTTGGCTTCCATTTCATGTTTGTATCATGTCATAGTAGACATGGGGAAAAAATGACAAATCAGTGGAAATAGATTTCATTTCAGCAAAAAAAAAAAAAAAAAAAAAAAAAAAAAAAAAAAAAAAAAATCCCACCATCCTTCACCCTAGAGAGTTTAACAAAGATACACAAAGGATCTTTAAACTTGATAGCATAGAGATCATAAAGACATGGAAGATTTGGTCTGCTTGATTAATTAATTATTGACAAAAAAATTAAATGAAAAACAAAAGTGTCAACCAAATATATATATATATATATACAACTCAACCATAATATATCATTAAATGATATTGGCAACGAACTAAATGGAAGAGAAATTAAGATGAGAAAGAGGTACCTTGAGATTGAGCAGGGTATGGATAAGCATACTTGGGGGGCTCATTCATCTTTGCAGCTCAACACAAAACAGCAACACACTCGCACAGCTGATGATATGATGATAAGATGGGACTTTTGTTGACAAATGGGTAGGTGTTTAGTCCATATATTCAACAAATCAAGAAGAGCCGAGAGTGATATATATATATAGTTGGGGAAGTGACAAACAAATGAATTAAATTTTCAAAAACGTACTAATTAAATCAATTATGTAGAAACAACTGGTTTCTATTTGTCAACATGCTTTTATGTGTCACGCTACTTTTCGCACCCTCTTTATGTAAAAAAAGAAAAAGAAAAAAGAGAATAAATAAAAACAAATTTGTCAAAAAGTTCTTTTAGCACGCGTATTTCTTTACGTAGTTCGTTTCAAGTCCAGATAGAAGAGGTTTTGTTTTAAGTAGCTTAACGTAAAAATACATTAATACAAATTTGCACAAATTATACAGAGACATAAAGAGATAAATGTTTTATGAAATTGGACTCTGTTTCAGCATGGGCAAAAAGTTTTGAAGAATATATTCTACTATTATATAGTTTGAATTGAATTTTTTTTTTTTTTTTTTTTTTTTTTAATAGTATGTCATAATACTAGCATTAATTCCTTTCTTTTTCTTTCCCCATATGACAGAATACTTGCACTTGCCTGAGCTATTCTGAATTCTACCCCTACCATGTACTTTGAAAATTGTTTTTTCAAGTGTGAAGCCAGGGTAATAATGTCTTTTTGGGCATGAAAAGAAGAAAGTCCAAATTTAAATGGGAGATGACAACTGGTGTGGGCTCTACTTTTTTTTTGAAAAAGCAACGCGTTTTTCCTACCCCACACATAATTACTACTCCAGCTAGTAACTGCAAATTCTGACATGAAAACGCATGAAATGGATACCCTTTTTTTTTTATTTATTGTAAAGTAACTTTTTTTATCAGATGGTGAAGAAATACTGGATCAGTGTTTGGTATTTTAGCAGATATTTAACAAAATAATATGTTTTATATTCTGATGACACCTGTATACCTAACCCCCAAAAAAAATAAAAATAATAATAAATAAGAGGAATCACCACCTGTTCACACCTCCACCATTTATTGGATTAGTTGAGGCTCTAGAATAAATTTTTTTCTAATTTTAGTTTTTTAAAAAAATGAATTATGAATACACACACACCCAGATACATGGAAAGAAATATACTATATTAATCCATGAGACAACATTCAAATAAGTTCAGGCCCAAAATATATTTAGAGGTCTAAGCTTAAAGAGTATGGGCTGGTTCGAAACATAAATCCTGACCCAACGTTTGATTTGATCCAAATCATATGCGGTTCCAGTCAAAATTCTCTGCGGCTAACAAGAGGCCCTCTTAAAACCTGGGCTAAGAAAGGCCCATGGACAACCTTTACCTTTTCACACAATTTTTTTTTTTTAGTTGGATGGATAAGCTATTTCACACTATTAAAAGTACGCATGAGTTTTTTTTTTTGTATTGTTTTCTAGTTTTAGAAAACATAAAATTATTTTCAGAGTTACAAACCAAGCATGACAGAAAATTGTACAAAAAAACTCTATTTGGTTTAGTTTTCTGAATTATGTTTCCTGAAAAATTAGTTATAAAAAAACTTATTTTCAAATAATAGTCTTTTATAATTCTCTAAAAACAATTTTATATTCTCTAAATTCTTGAGAATTGTTTTCAGAGTTACAAACCAAACAAACCCTTGAAGATAATCCGTCTTACCCAAAAACAAAAAACAAAATATATTTTACACACTAGATACTAGGACCGGACTAGAAAAGTATGTGAGATGGGGTTACCTTTAACAAAAAATGTTGTGGGTGGGGGTAATAGTGGAGTTTTTCTCTAATTTTAGAGGGAACAAATTCAAAATTTTTTAAGTATATAATTCAAAAAAGCTAAATTAGTATGTATAATAGCAAAAATAAATTTTTTTTGTAGGGGACAATTGTCACCCAAATATTTTTTTATAGGGGCAATTGTCCCCACTGAACCACACCATAGGTCCAGACATGCATCACCTATCACAAAAATAATTTTAAAAGTTACTTTAAAAAGTTAAACATAACCGGTGATATGTTAATCGAAAGATAATATAAAAGCGTAAAGATAGAAAATTCATGTGGAGGACATGATTCGTGTGAGAATAAGGCAATGATATTGAAGAAGAATAATCTTTGCAAGAGAATATTAGTCAAAATCATATGATTTTATATTTTAGAGAAATGCGGCTAGATACATTTAAACCTCCATATGTCAGCCATCAAAAAACTAATCATTCAATCTTTCCAAGTGCCCTCCATATTTATACAGTGAATACAGAAAGTCACATGTGAACTCCTTTATGAGCCCATGACCAATTGAACTGTGCAACTTGCCTGCCAACAAACTTGAGTTGTGCGCATGCGTGTGCATGTGTTTACAAACCTAAATGGGGTGAATAGAATCTTTAATACTTTATGTATAGATTTTAATTGTATATATTTTTTCAATTTTCTTATGAAGAATATTTGAACAATTTTGGATCCTATCTTAATTATAAATAAATTAAGTGTTTTGTTTTAATTAAATATATTTTAAAATACAATTTAAAATTAATTAAAAAACAAAAACTACGCCTAAAATTTTAAATGAAAGAAACATCATTTATCTTTAACACTCAAAATTTAAGCACTTAAAATTGAAGTCTTAATTTTTTTTAGTTTTATCTGGATAAGGATTAGAGCATGATGTTGATAAATTAAAAAATAATAAATACTAATAATACATATACATGGACACATATAAAATGATATATATGTGTGTGTATATACACATACGTGGGTCTTTTTTTCTTAATTTGAGGCAAAAATGGCCCCGCGCTTTAAATGTATAGTTCAACAATATAGGAGTACAGAGTATTTATTATACAATCTCAAGTCAAACCCAAATAATTCTCCGCCTTTCTTGGCGCGACGCCATCTCAAACTCCGTCATCAAAGAGTGGACAAAACTGACTATTTCTCTCCCAAATTGATTAAAATTATGAAGTTTCTCTTACATATCTCTTTCTAGTTCTCTGCCACTCTTGCTTTTACATGTAACAAAACATTTTTCTTTCATTTTTTTATTTTATTTTATTGTGAATAATGATAAAGGAATCGAAAAAAAATTATCGAATTAATATCAAATTTGACGTGATTAGTCATTCTTATCACGTATTAAATAATTATTTTTAAAAACTGTTTAAGTAAATAAGGTAAACAAAAACACGTCAAATTCGATACTTATTCGGGATTAATTCATTCATCTCTCTATCATTATTCTTTTATTATATATTATTTTTTTCTCTAATAAAAAAAGAGATTCTTTAATCAAATACTGAAATTCACTTCCTCGGCAAACTACAGCAATTGCTAAAATATCAAGTATATTTTTACGTAGGATTAATAAAAGGATTTTGTTAAGTTGAATTTATCAAGGATAATTTAGACTAAAAGGTTTAAAATTTAGAGTACTTTATTTCATATGAATAGGCGGAATTCAACTAACACAAAATTTTTACGCATAGTTCATATAAAGTTCATAAAAATTATTAATAACATATGAAAGTAAAAAAAAAAGTTAAATGAATGAAATGAAAATAATTTTTTTTATTATATATTTGATTAACATAAAAAAAATTATAAAAATATATAATTGTAAGCTCGTAAAAATTTCTCTTCAAAAAAAATATTATTATATTAACCAAATTTTATATTAAAGAGTTGCATTTATTATTGACACAGACGATATTTGAGTGGCAGTCATGATGATGGAATTTACCCAAAAAGAAAGTCACGCTTGAAAGGAAAGGAATGGGGGATGGTGGGGTCATTGATGGGTGGTTTAGTTATTTTCGTGAGAAAAATGTACACCTGTCTCAAATATTCAATGCCAAGTCTCTTTCATATCCCCAATTCCCAAGTGTGTTGGTCAATTTAAATCTTTATATTTCTCTTCATTGAATACAACATCTAACTAAACACATAACACTCGTCAATAGACAATTCAATGGAGAAAAGAAGGCTTTTTATTGATGCTCATACACTTATTTTTAATTTGATTTGTGGGGGCACTCTCTCTCTCTGTCTCTCTCTACATATCTGGACATGATTAACTGGATTCCAATACCATGTTCAATATTGGGGTAATTAATACTCGGTATGTTGTTTCTTCAAGCTCCAATAAAGAGATGGGTTTGAAAGAGTTTTTGTGGAACAGTCCATTGTAAAGTTTACTGTTATGGGCATGTTTGGCCTCATTATTTTGAAACTTTGAAATTAGAATTGAATATTTCAATTTCAGATTCTGTATTATAATAAACACCCCAAATTAACAATTTCAATAGCACGGATTTAAAATTTCAAATTCAACTTCTATATCACTTATTCCCCCCGCTTACTCACGCCAACCTATCAATCTCTTCCGAGTTCATTACGCGACCCCTTTTTAAGTCCGATACGGGTCTTGTATCTGCCAATTTACATTGACTTTGTCCGAATTCGTTATATCTCGACCGTTATCGATATTGCGACTTTAATTGCAAACCATGCTCCTGACCCCAACCTCTGGGTCTCTATCAATGACTTACTCCACTCTATCATTCCATCTCAATCTAACTCCCTAGATTATTCATCTCTACCCTTAACTTTTCCATCTTGATCAGCCTTCAAACCCTAGTTTGGAACCCTAGCTCAATGAGGTTTTTCGTCTTCCATCCAATTCAGATGGGAATGGTGTTGAGTATATATAAATGAGTATAGGGTTAACTAAAACATGTTTATTCCATTACCGTAAGTATCCGATCCAACCAGCACATTCTCTTAGAAGTATAACTAAATTTTTCGTTTCGTTTTGATTTGTTTTTATTTATTTTGAATCTCTTAAAATGATCTAAATTTCTTCTTTTCTTAGGTGTCAGTATTAAAAAAAAAATAAATAAAATAAATTGTTCATTTAGGATCAAAGCATTTTAGTTTTAGGAGTCACAATCAATAATACATTGATATCAGCTAAAACGTAATCATGAATTATATCTTCAAAGTTCGTGGATTGCATCATTTCTTTTGAATAATGGATCATCCACCTATACTAATAAACCTTATCTCATTTATTTCTTTTTTTTTTCAAATTTCACAACTACTCTAATCTTATTAAAATTGAAGAATGCGGTTTTATTTAATAGAAAAATAGTTGTTAGATCTACTATTTTTAATTGGTCATTTATGCAACAAATAAGAAAGCGAAACCCGTCAATTTTTTGTATTTTTTGTAGCCAAAAAAAAAAAAAATATATATATATATATATATATATATATATATATATATATATATAACCAATAAAAAATATTCCATTACCTCGTTCACACTCCAAGTCAATTTTTTTTTAAGTGAGATATAATGTCAACACGTTGTTTAACTAATGGTGCACAAAAAAGTTCAATCATATTGCTTGATGCAGACCTGAAGTTGATGCAATTTGGTATCCAAGTCAAACCAAATATCAACCAAACTAGTTTGTTAATTATTATGCATTGTAGTTATCGCAATTGTTGTACATTCATATAAAATAAATTTATAAAGAAGAAGAATATCTATGTGTGTGTATATATATATTTGCAATTTTAGCAAAAATACATGTATTCTGGAATTTCAAAGAGTTTTGACCAATAAATATGGATGAGATAATTCATTCATCATCTTCACTAATGGATCATGCTTGGTGTTTCAATTTTTAATGGCATTACTCTTGTAACATTGTTTTATTGTTACTATTTATCAAAAAGAGAAAAAAAAAAAAAAAAATTTGTTTACTTTGTTGATTGATGGAGGTATTTTAATCTCTCTGGTCCTAATCTCCCTGGATTGAAAATGTAAGTGGTGCCACGGTGAAAAAGAAATGAAAAATAAAAATTTAACCTTTCGCAAATAACCAAAGACAGCTTAAATTCAAGTAAATGGTGATGACATTAAATTGACTCACCACAAATTCATATAAAACCTTTGGCATGCATAGTGTAGTTTTATGATATATTATTTCTAATAATATTTTTCAATTCTTAGAATATTAAAATATAAAAAATAAGTTAAATTTTTAAAAGCAAAAATTATGAAGAACTAAAAAGAAAAAATTCTGAAGGAAGTAAATTAATTTTTTTGGAAAGTTTTATTTTATTTTTATGGAAAAGAAAGAAAAATTAAGGGTATATTATATAATTCGGGAGTGTTTGGTTTGAGTTTTATTATATCCGGTTTTGGTAGTGCTTGGTTTGGGATATTTCATTCTTGAACAAAACAAAGTTTATTTTATGCTTATCCCAAACAAAAAAAATCTTATACAAAATGGTCATTTTACATGACCGGTATTTATATTTATTAATTTATTCTTTTGAAATGAAGGTAATATAGTTGTTTTTAAGTCTAAAATAACTATTTGCATCAAATTAATAATATATGGGCGTGTTTCACTGTAAAGGGACTAATTTGAATTTTTTTTTACACTTAATCCTAAATTATATGATTGCCTAAGACTGTTTATAAGAGTTTAATTTCATACAACCAAACAAATTCAATCGCAGGTACAAAACAAAATAAAACTAAACCTTATTTATAAAGTTTTTAGCACATGAATACACAGTAATTTCACTTGAAACATACAAAATTGTCAAAAGCCACAGCAAATAGCCAAAATACAAACTCCATTTATATTTTCGCACTGTAGGTAAATCTGTAATGGTTGCCTCCGAAGAAATAGTCATTTTTGCCCTTCTAATGACTAGTATTTACCTTGTACTCACACTAAAGCTTGGGATACCTTTGTTGCCACGACATTAGCTTCTTCAGTCAGCGTTGGTCTCATTTCGGCGCTGACACCTGGTGCCGCCATTCCCTGATACTGTGGCGGCATTACAACTCCCGGCGCAGTATAGTATACCTGCCTCCCCATCCCATTATCGTACGCCACCTGTGTGTAACCCGTATCCACAACCCCTGTTGTTGGTGTCGGTGGCCGTACCATTCCAATACCTTCCGTGTATGCCGCCATCTTCGGTACTTGAGGCGGCAGTGTAGGTGGCGCAGCAGCCGGAGGTGGCATAACACCGTACACCGTCTGGTCCCGATAAACTTCCGGTGGCATCCTCTGCACCGCGTAGTATCCCTGACCGGTTGGACCAGTCACCGGCCTTGCAATCGGCGTGTGATACATTCCCGCCGGAGCTGGAATCATGTATACAGGTTGATCTGTTCCAATCGTAGTCGCCGGAAATCCTCCACTCATGATTTGCTTTTCTGGCCAATACTGAGGCGGAAGTGACATCGTTCCCGGCACAGTAACTGGTAATGTCGACGGCGGCAAATTTTCCGACATCTTCTGAACGTAATAGTCTCTGTTGAAACCTCCGGCCATTTGATCATCAAATTTTCTTGCTTGCTCTTGAACTTCAATTTGCAACCTCTGCAAATCCTGGATCTGCCTCTGGATCGGATCGGATCCTATAACCCGATCCTCAACGGCAGGAACCAGAAGAGGAATTGGAGGGACAGGTTCCGGAATCTGATCCTGGAGTTTCGCAACCACCGGAGGCAGCATTCCTTTCTCCAAACCAAACAGGAAGTCCATATGGTTCGGCGGCGCCACCGTTGACGGCGGCGTTGACGATTGTACTGGAACGGAATTCAGAGCATCCACAAACTGTTCCCTATCTAACTTCCCCTCATTCGATGCCAAACTCGATGGCGTTGCCGGCGGCGGATTCACCTGGAAGAGAAACAACCTCAGCCTCGCCGGTTTCGCCGTAGCCCGATACAACCTATCGTACTCGTGCATCATGTGGTCGAGATCGTCGTCATTGGTGACCGATATCAACGCGTCGAGATCTTCTCCGGGTAACTGGTACTTGAAGCAAACGTCGGCGTCGCAGAGAGCCGAGAGTTTCGAAATGATCCCGGGGAATTTGATGCTGCGATCCACGGCCAAGATCTTAGTTTCGCCCCCGACATATGTTAACTGGTTGTCGTGCGGTCTAGGGTGGATTTTACCGCCGTAACTGCACATGAATTTGACTTTGTAGTTGTTGGACGACGGTGGTTGTTCCTCCCACGGCGGCGGGTTTTCCAACTCGATTTCTCGCGACCGAGGAGACGAGTCGCCGGACTCAGCGTATGAAGTAGTGTAGGAGTTGTTCTCCATCGGCGCAATTTAGAAGGGGTCGAAGCGCAAGATAGCCTCAAGGGTTTGGGAGTCGTAGCTGACTGAATGTTTAATCCATTTGAGAGAAGAGGGGTTTAAAGAGAAACGGAGAACACCAAGGACAGCTTTTATTTCGCTGCGTCATTGGAGTAGTTACGATAACTGCAGGATTCATAGATTTTCTGTGCTACTTCAAAATATAACCGCCCCATGTGAGTTTAAAATGGACTCTCTAATGACATGTCAAATGGGTTGCTAAAATATAATTTTGTCAAATGTTGTGTCAAATATAACACAACATATAGTCATTGACAAATCTGCTATTACTTTCTTCCTTCTCTCCTCATTCGCATGGGCGGCAAATTTTGTGTTGGCTGCCAATTTAACATTGTACTTGTGTGTGTATATATATGTCAGTTGTGCTTGTGTGTGTGTATATATATATATATATATAAGCACAAAAGATATATATCTATACACACAACACTGACATACATATATATATACACAACACTGACAAAAGATATATATCTATACACACAACACTGACATACATATATATATACACAACACTGACATATATATATATATATATATATATATATATATGTGTGTGTGTGTGAGTGTTTTTATTTATTTATTTTTAATAAGAAAAATAAGCTAAATAAAATACAAACACTCACAAAAAAAAAAAAAAAAAAAAATGGTTGTTGAAAATTGTAGTTGGGATTGGTAGTTGAAAAATAATTACTAAAATATAATATTTTGACATTGTAATTCCTCTCAAAATATAGATTTGGCATGTAAAAATGGTATTTTTCATTTGAGATGGTCTGAGTAGCTTCACCATACTCACCCCTCATGTGTTACAATAACAAAATAACACATTACCTTTAATAATAAAATTAGTAAAATAAATAAATAAATAAATAAAGTCAAATCGACCCGTTTTAATTGAGTAATCACCATTTCTTTTTTATCTCTATCTCTTTAATCGATTCCCAAACCTACGTCCTCCTCTCTCCACTCTTTTTCTTTTTCTTCACCTAAAACTATTTATCGGTGAGTAATTAAGCATTGTCCATAAATTATAGGGTGTATGTGTACATGATTGTCGTCATAACTTTTGAGGTAAACAAATCAACATAAATATATATATATATATATATATATATATATATATATATAATTAAACAAAATAATTAGAAAAATAATAATAATAATAGTTTTGTAAAGGTCGTGGGGGTGTGGTTTTTGTGAGATTTATGGGGTGTGAGAGTAGCATGGAATGGGGGTTAGCTGGAATAGGGTTGGTTGGTGGGTGCCACGGTGTGTGTGAAAATGAGAAGTTGGAAAGAGATAAGAGAGCGATGGGTTGACTGGGATTGGACTAAAGGGGAGGCGTCGCAGGTACGAGACTGCCAAGTGGACTGCTTCAGTTTCGAAATAGATTTTTTCTGTTTTTTCTCTTCTAAAATCTGATTTTTTTTTAAGAACAATTATATATATATATATATATATATTTAGATCGATCAAATATAAGTTTAAATTAGGCTCTCTTTGGTCAAAAGTAAATTGATACATTAAAATAATTTAAACCATAATTAAATTCCTACAACAATATCAAAATTTAAGTCACACAATTTTTTTTAATCAGTGTCGCTCTTACTCTACAAGTATGATTTTGCTCTCACACCTCACACATGCTCTAGTCTCGCTCATATTCTCACTTTGTGTGACTTTAATTTTTCTACTTTCGCACTCTTACTTTCGAATTTGTTCTCGCTCCCGTTCTATGTGACTTAAACTGTGTTTGGTTGCATGAAATTGAAAGTTTGGAATTAAAATCTATGAAATTGGAGGAAAAATAATTCACAAAATTGAACAAAAAATTTCTCCAATTCTACCAATTCTAATTCCAAAATTCCAATTCTATGCAACTGAATACAACCTAAATCAAAACTCTTTTAAGTATTGAATTTGATTCTTAATTTCATTGATCACTTCAATTTTTACTATCATAACATTTTGACTATTATTTTAGAGTATCTCCAGTAGTATGTTAAAATATTATTTTATCTACAATATACGCCAAGTATGATCACTAATTTTATTTTATTTTTTATTTTTATTTTATCTCCATCGATCTATTAGAGCATTTCCAGCAGTTTGTTAAAATATCCTTTTGTGTAAAATATACACGGTCACATATGATGTGTAAATGTTTTTTATTTTTAGCAGTCTGTTAATATACATGGACACGTCACCAATGTGTAAAATTGCACTGACATGTCACCAATGTATAAAATTATTGTATATTTTACACAACATTTTTACACAGTCACATCAATATATCTCATTTCTTCTCCTTTTTTGTCATTCCATTAAAGTATATTAAATAGGTTTTACACAGTCACATCAATATATCTCATTTCTTCTCCTTTTTTGTCATTCCATTAAAGTATATTAAATAGGTTTGTACAAGTTATGTGTGGTCCTGGCATAACATGGTTAGTTGTTATTGGGAAATATATTTTTACACAAAAGGTATAAAACAACAGTGGGAGTTAAAATTAAATAATCCAATTTTTTTTTTTTTTTTAAATTCATTACGGCACATCAGATTTAAATATATATATATATATATATATGCACAATGGTTGGAGATATCACGTTACTAATGTGTAAAATTGTTGTGTATTTTACACAATTTTTTTACACAGCCACATCAACTTATTTCCTTTCCCATCCCTCTTTCTCATTTCATTAACGAATCAACCCTATATTAAGTAAGTTTGTAAAAATTATGTGCGGTTCAGGCATTACATTAATTGGTTGTTATTGAGGAATATATTTTTAAAAATAACCGTTGAAACTAAAAATAAATGATTCAAATTTTTTTATATAAATCTATTATGGCACATCAAATTTACAAAAAAAATATATATATATACATACACAACGGTTGGAGATGCTCTTAGACATTCTTACCATATCAAAGAGTTAAAATTACTTCTTTTTTTTCACAATTAAAATTACTTAACATCTACTTAATTAATAATATATTAAAATATAAAAAACTTTCAATCAATTCCTGATAAATGAAAAAAAAAAAAAAAAAAAACACTTAGGCTATGTTTGGTACGGTTGGTTTGAAAGGGAAGGATACTATTAATTATAAGGGAAAGGGAATGGAATGATAACTTTAACCCTCATCGTGTTTGGTTGATTAATGAAGGAAAAGAAATGGAAGTATAATAATCATGTTTGTGAAAAGAATGAAAGAGAAAATTTACTATTATACCCTTTTCCATTTTAAAAGATATATATATATATTTTTGTCTCCTATAAATTTAACACACACAAATAGGTACATACCTTTTTTATATTTATGTATTTAGTACTAAAAATAATGCAATAGCAAAATTTCAACAACATCTACCAAAAATAAAAAATAAAAATAAAAAGTAAAATAGCCTCTAAAAGCCACGTATATGGATGATGGGCCACAAAATTTAGGGCAAATCATTTCAGCCTCCCTAATCTCTTCACCTCCATCTCTATTATCGTTCTCAACTCTAAACTTGCCCTCTCTCTCTGCGCTACAAGTTTCAAAAGTTCAGAACTCATATATTTTAGTTTATCTATCAAGAATCAAAAGTTCAAAACCTATATCGACATATCATTTCAGATTGTTCAAAAAATCAAAATTGATATCTTTCAGTTTCCATTCGGCGCTGTTCCAGTTTGGGTTCACCGTTTGCAAGCTTCAGCCGCTGTCTCTCAACTCTCCAAGCTTGCCCCCCTCTGTCGTTGCAATTGCTAACTGTATGTATGGGTTTTGTTTTAATTTTTTTTCTAAATCAACTAATCAAGGTCTGTAATTCTTGTTTTGCAAACTAAATCCTAAAATCAAGTGTAATCTTGATTTTGTGAAGGGTAAATTTGGAATCAGAACTAATTTATCAATCCTAGCCTTCCCTTTCCTTTTATTTCCTCTCATTTTTGGGAGGATAAACAAAACACTGTTCAAGCTTTGACATAACCTTCCAAAACCTTCATTTTTCTTTCCTTTTCTTCTACCATTTTTGCCAAACACAAATTTTTAATCCCCTTCCATTACCTTTCTTTCCCTTTCCTCCCTTTTTCGTTGCACCAAATTGATCCTTAGTGGAAGTACTATATTATAAAAAATAATATTTTCCACAGATTTGTAGCAGTTATTCTGTCCAAGTGTGTATAGAGTAAAGTTCCCGAGACAATTGACAACTTTGTTACAGCCTGAGAACCCAAAATTAGAGCACAATAAGTCCAATTTATTATGATTAACAACACGTGTATGCACATTTTTTAACTTGGAGGAGTTTAATTAAACAACACATACTATTATGGAAGTTCGTAAATAAATCATAAAAACAGCACCAAAAGTTGTGTTTTGAATTGATAATTTATAAATACCTGTAATTGGCAGGAGACAACTAGATCTTCCAAGGCAACTTTACTGTCCTTCAAAGAACAAGCAAGTTTTACTAGTGTTTGACCACCATATAGTATAAATAAAACACAAGATATAACAATTGAAGAAATACTTTACCACTCATCAAAGGTTTGAAATAATTATATCCCAATTGGTTCAATTGATAGAGAAAGCAAAATTATATATGCAATTGAATCTCTTTGGGGTAACCCAGGAAACAAAATTTGGTAATTGTTGGGATGTGGAATTGTATTTGTCCAATAGTGAATTACAAAGTATTTTAAAAAATTCAACACCACAATGATTGAAAAAATATATATATATGTTATATACGTATGTATATATATATATTTTTATTCTTTTATAAATGAGTGAGAGGTTGTTAGAAATTGTGGGTGTTGACGGAAAGAGAATGAAAGGAAAATTTAAAACTTTAGCGCTTAGTTTTGTATATTTTAAAAAATGCTAATTTTTTTAAACTATTAGGTTTGACTAGCTAACTTTTAAAAAATAAAAACTAATTACAAAACTATACTAAAACGCTATTTATATTTTTTTATGGTCCAAAATACTCTTTAGAAGGTAACTATTGTTATATGTCCTTCTCATTCTAGCCAGGACCTTAGCCGGGACCCTTATTA